TTTTGCATCAAAGGTTCAGGGAGTGGGTTGCTGTCTCCCCTCTCTCTACTAGAAGTACTGTCTAGCTACAGGAGGTAGTCACTTCAGGCTCTATATCCCACACTGTTAGGAATCTCAGCTAGTGTCACCCTCACAGACTACAGGGAGCCTCCCCTGTCCCACTTCTTCAGCTTGTCCCATAGATGCACTACCAACAATTTCCCTACTGACTCCAGCCTTCTCACAAACCCCTCCCTCCACACTCAATCCCCACCCAGTTCTCTCTCTTCATCCACTTCTGATGTCTATTTTATTTCTTGTTGTGAGTGAAATTTAAGCATTCTCCTTTGGACTCTCCTTGTTTCTTACATTTTTGGAGTCTTATATTTTTGGGGTCCTGTACTTTAAGGCTCTACTATTAATCTTTTGACATCTGTCTTTTTGGATCTAGGTTACCTCACTCAGGATGATATTGCTTAGTTCCATCTATTTGTCTGCAAATTTCATGATGTCCTAGTTTTTAATAGCTGAGGGGTATTCCATTGATAAAGGTGTATTATCTTTATCCATTCTTCTGTTGAAAGTGATCTAGGTTATTTCCAGTTTCTGGCTGTTACAAATAAAGCTGCTATGTTCATAGTTGAGCAAGTGCCCTTGTGGTATGACAGAACATATTTTGTATGTATAAATAAATATATCTATTTTTATATGATATCTGTATATGTATCGATATCTATCATCATCTAATCAATATCATCTATGTCTATAGCTATGTCACCTATATATCTATATTACTTATATCATCTATATCTATATCATCTATATGTATATCATCTTTGTATGTATATATATATAGATAGATAGATGTGTGTGTGTGTGTCTGTGTGTGTGTGTGTATGTATGCATATATCATATATATGTATATCTGAGTGGGATAGTTGGATCTAGAAATATAACTACTCCTAATCTTCTGCAAAACTTTCAAATTGATTTCCAAAGTGGTTGTAGAAGTTTACACTCCCACCAACAATGGAAGAATGTTCCCCTTGTTCCACATCCTTGACAGCATGTGCTGTTGCTTGACTTTTTGATCTTAGCCACTCTGACAGGTGTGAGGTGGAATCTCAGAGTCATTTTAATTTGTAACTCCCTGATGACTAATGTTGTTGAACATTTCTTTAAGTTCTTGGCCATTAGAGATTGCTCTGTTAAGAATTTTTTTGTTGTTCCCTTTACCATTTATTTATTTATTTATTTATTTATTTATTTATTTATCACTCCAGATTTTATCCACCCTCCAGTACACCCTGACTGTTCCATATCCCATACCTCCTTCCACCCCCTGTCTCCACAAGGATGTCCCTACCCCACACCACCTACCTCCTCTGCTGTATATGTGTTGGGGGCCTCCTATCAGATGGTGTATGCTGCCTTTTTGGTGGTTCAGTGTTTGAAAGATCTCAGGGGTCTAGGTTAATCTAGACTGCTGGTCCTCCTACAGGGTCACCCTTTTTCTCAGCTTCTTTCAGCCTTTCCCTAATTCAACCACAGGGGTCAGCAGCTTCTGTCCATTGGTTGGGTGCAAATATCTGCATCTGACTCTTTCAGCTGCTTGTTGAGTCTTCCAGAGGACAGTCATGATAGATCTGTTTTTGTGAGTGCTCTATAGCCTCAGTAATAGTGACAGGCATTGGGACCTCCCCTTGAGCTGGATCTCACTTTGAGCCTGATGCTAGACCTTCTTTTCCTCAGGTTCCTCACTGTTTCCATCCCTATGGTTCTTTCAGACAGGAACAATTATGGGTCAGAGTTTTGACTGTGGGATGACAACCCCCTTTTTTATTGGATCCCCTGTCTTCTTGCTGGAGGTGGGATCTATATGTTCCCTCTTCCTACTGTCAGATATTTCATCTAAGGTGCCTCCCTTTGAATCTTGAGAGACTTTCACCTACCAGGTCTCTGAGTCATTCTGAAGCGTCTCCTCAACCTCTTACTTCCCTAGGTTGCCTGTGTTCATTCTTTCTGCTGCCCCTCATGGCTTTTCTTTTCCCTCACCCAATACCAGATCAGGTTCCCCTATTCCCCACAACCCCTGACCACTTTCCCTCCCCATTTGTGACTGCTTTCTTCTCCCTCCCAAATGGGACTGAGGCATCCTCACTTGGGCCCTTCATCTTGTTGACCGTTTTGAGTTCTGTGGACTGTATCTTGGGTAGTCTGTATTTTTTTTTTTACTAATATCCACTTATTAGTGTACATAACACGCATGTCCTTTTGAGGCTGAGTTATCTCACTCAGGATGATATTTTCTAGATCCATCCATTTTCCTACAAGAATTATTTTGGTTATTGGTATCAAATTACTAGAGTTCTTTACATATTTTGGATATTAGCTCTCTGTCAGATGTAGGGTTGGTGAATTTATATCTCATTTTGTAGGCTGTTGTTTCATTCTACTAACAATGTCCTTTACCTTACGGAAGCTTTGCAGTTTCATGAAGCCCCATTTATTACTTGTTGGTCTTAGAGCCTGAGCTGTTGGTGTTCTGTTCAGGAAGTTGTATACTGTACCAATGGATTCAAAGGTATTTCCCATTCTCACTTCTATTAGATTTAGTTTGTCTGGTTTCAATATTGTGGTTTTGACCCTTTTGGACCTGAGTTTTGTGCAGGTTAATAAATATGGATCTACTTGCATTCTTCTACATACAACCATCTAGGTAGACCCAGCACAATTTAATTTATTGAAATTATTTTTTTTCTTTTTCCATTGTATGAATCTGACTTCTTTGTCAATAAACAAGTGTTCATAGGTGTGTGGATTTATTTCTGGGTCTTTGATTAGATTCTATTCATCAACCTGTCTATTTTTATGCCAATATTATGCAGTTTTTGTTACTATAACTCTGTACAGCTTGAAATCAGGGATTGGTGATACTTCCAAAAGTTCTTTTATTGAACAAGATTGCTTCACCTATCTGTGTTTTTTATTTTTCCATATAAAGTTTAGAATTTCCAGTAGGCTAATTTTAAATTTTTTAGTCTCATTTTAGACTTTGCAGTGAAAGTTCATGCAGGTATCACAATCTTCCTTGTCAACCATGGATATTTGTTTTCTAATGGAAGAAAATTAGCTATTGTTTCATTAGGAAGTTCCCACCATTTATGTCCCAGTACTTGGTGGTAATCTCTACAAGGTGTCTTGAAAATCCCTTAGTTCAACAACATAGTCATGTCTATGCAAGCAATATAAACTATAACATCTGTCACTCTACTTCAATAGTCTGTACTAACAAACTAATGTGTGGTTTTGTTTGCTTTGTTTTTCTTTGCTTTTTACTCTTTAGGCAATAGTTGCATTGTTCTTCTGGTCTTCAAGAGATAGACATGGCAGTCCTGTAACTAGAAATCAGAAGTATGCAGTCATGTAGTCAGATATTTCTATGATGAGGTTTTTTTCTTAAAAGAACTTCAACTCACCCCCCTCCCCATGTTGCATTATGCAACATTGGTGATAGACTTGACTCTCATAGACTAGATATGCCACATTGAGCTTTTTCCTTCTATAGATAGGAAGTCTAAGGAGGCATACATGCATTTTTTCTTAAAACCAGGAATGATAATACTACCTTAGTAAAGTTCTCTGTTTTTCTGGCTTCAGGGCACTTGCAAACTAAATGACTATAAGATTGATTTGGAAATGTAAAATAACCTTTCAGTCATAAAAAGACTCTGCAAACATTTATAAACTGAATTATGATTTGACTATGGAATTTGACTTTTAAGTATACACCTAGGGAAAATGAAAGCAAACATAATGATAATATACACAAGATATAGCAGCATCATTATTTACCATAACAAAATTATAAAAAATAACTCTAATCTTTTCTAGTAAATGAATAAACAAACAAAAAGGTATAAATATGTAAGGCTCAGACATAGATAAGGTTATAATTCTGATATCTAGTACATAATAGATTAGATAAGTTATAAAATCTGATAGGAGAAATAAATCAAACACAAAGGAAAGCTATGATTATATAGTTATATGATACCCATCTGTGATTCACAATTTGTGAGATACCTAAAATAGGCAGCTTTTTAGCTAGAAGTTGAGATAGAGGTGATTAAGACAAAGGGAAGTGGGAAACTGCATCTATCTGATACTATAAAGAAGTTCATGGAATATATAGTCAGGTTCTTTATATAACTTTATGAATCTGCTACTGAGCTGTATACATGACATGGTTAAAATTTATATTATATATTATATTATATTATATTATATTATATTATATTATATTATATTATATTATATTATATTCTGAATGGCTTATTCAAATTATAGCTGAAATTATTAAAATGGCAATTTTCATGATTTGTGTATTTTACTAGTATTAAAATTTAAATTACCAAATACATAATAAAAATTACTGCTTTACATTATAAATATATTATATTTATAATATATATTCAATAATATATTTATAAATATGAAAATATTTATAAACTAGAGAATATAGATATGTTATGGTTGGGGAGAGTAAAAGGGGTAAAAGTGGCTGTAGATCCGGATTCAGCCTTCATCTCAAATCTCCCACCTGCCATTTGGTAGTGATAGAAATTCAGCCAACTATATGGGTCTTTTATATTTTAGTTACATTACACATTGGAATAGTTTTGATGACTAAAACTGAAATGCATATAAAGTACTTCACAAAAGACCATTATCCAAATGGGTGTAGGCAGTTCTCTCTGTATATTCTTCAGTGACTTGACCTTTATGACTTTAAAACTGAAATGAATGCATTGGATCCATTTACATACCCTAACTTGCAATCTGTAATGGTAGTCTGATATAGTATATGAAATTAAACATCATATTATAACGTTCTTTATAAACTAAAACATTAAAATATGTTAGTATAAAGTAAAATTGATTTCTTGTTGTGAAATCAAAAATTATAAATAATATGAGCATGATTCAAACCCACACTAACTATTCTTTTCATTCCTTAGTGGTTATGTATTTGACTACGATTACTACAGAGATGATTTCTACAATCGGTACGTAAATTTCTCAACCTGGCCTTGGGGAATCTGTATTATGTTCTCTTTTATGTATTTCATTTACTGAAGCTTTAATTAATTTAAATGCTTGAAATAATATATTATGACTAAAAATTTAAATTGAGATGTTTCTATAACTATCACATAGACATATTTTCTTAGTTTTGTTATGTTTATTCACATGCAGATCTTGGAGTTGGAATTGAACATTAGAATTGACAAAGCCTAAAATTCTGTTTGTGATATTAAAATAACATTTTAAACATTTAGTTATTTTCAAGACCAATTGTTGACTTAGAATTGTCAAAGCTAAGAGTTATTATGACTCCAAAAGAAAGAAAGAAAAGAAGGAAGAAGTGAAGAAAGGAAGGAATGAAAAAAGGAAGGCAGGTAGGCAGACATGCAGGCAGGCCACAAAACCTAAAATTCATGTCTTTGTGATACATAGAATTGATTAGAATCAGCTGCTTAGAAGAACCGCGCAATTCCTTTAATACACTTCACTAAAAGTACAGGGGTGAATGATAATTATTGACTATATTTTACTTTAAAACAATAGCATTATTAAGAATTTTTTAAGACCTTTATATAGAATTTATCCATCCCACAAAGTACAAACTTGGGTACTTTCACCAGGTGACTTGAATCTGGATCAAACATCTGTTTTGTGCTCTAAGTTTCCATGGTCCTTTATAAGGATACATCAGCCTCAGGGCCTTGTCCTAATTGTCTCTCTTCAAGTTCTTTCAATATGTAGTCTTGTGGTACCATCACTTTCTCCCCAGAGTTTCCTTTATTCCTTTCCACTCATCGGATATATTTTACTTATAGATAGCAGTAGAAACTGTTTCGTTCATTTTGCTGGGTTCAGATCTAGATGCTTTCAAGGAACATGTTAATACATCTTTTGTCAGCTGACTATTTGATAATTTGCTTGAATTTACTTTCAATGTTTTGATTCTACAGTTATTATTGTCAACAATTCTTTTTTTAATTATTTGTGTTAAATGCTACATATGTGAAATGTTAAATGTCACAAATACAGGACACATTACAGTGGCCTGATTGTGGCCTCTGTGTAAATAGTCTAGTTAGTAGCCACTGTCTTCTGCAGGCATTTAGAGAAGTGATGGAATTACCCACTTATTTGGATAATAAAATCTGTGCTTTGGGATGTTAATGACAGCTTACATGTATTGCTATCAAGAAATTGAATTTGTATTTTTAGATAACTATTCTATGCACATCATTGTTGATAATGAAACTCATAAATAGCTAACTCACAAGAACCAAACTCAGATACAGGTGACAACTGGAATAAACAAATGAATGGATACAGACATAAGGTAAATACTTTCCACAAATTTTAATTATAAGTAGTGTTAAAACAGGGGAGTACAAAGAATTACATAAAAATGCAGAGAAAAGTTTTCAATAGATCATAATGGAAAATGGAGCCCAGTAAACGTTTGAGACTTTCCTACCCAGTTGTGAATAATATTTCAGTTCTACGGGTAAGCCATTCTATCTCCTCAGACCTCTGACTACCTCCTTCCCTTGACTTCATGCCTTAGAGCACCCAGATTGAAGTGGGTTCCCTGAGCACTCTCAGACCCAGCAGGCTCCCTCCCATACTTAGTTATATTACTTCAGTTCCTTTTGTAGTGTGAGGCCCCGTTTTGCTTGCCTCACTTTGCTATGGAGCATGACAGTGATGTTAACTTTTGATTGGCTAGTAATAGATACTTAACTTGCACAGTTAATTAATCTCATTTAAGACACAGGACCCTTTTGTTCATTACAGACAAAATTATACTCATAGCTTGATCATGTATTCTATTCCCACAATAGATTGCATGGCTATGTACAGGGAAGGAATAGCTCTTACTTGTATGTGGAGATAATGTACCCCAAAGCCTGTATTGAGAGCCAGATCAAAGGACACACTATTAGTAGCATATAATAATGTGCTCTTAAAGCAATGTCAACATCTGCCCACCTTAAAAATAATTTCATATCATACTAAGAAGAGATGACATGGAGATAGTCTTTATATTTTTTTTGAAAAGCTTAACTTCTAATAGTTTCAAAATCATTTTCTGCTGGAAATTTTTGAGGATGCAAAACATTGTTTTAATTACTCTGGATAAGTTTTCAATTAATGTATTTCACCTAATAGCATATCAAAATGCCATTGTGTTAGGCAATTTTCTTAGTGCTTCCTTGTAGAATTAATACATTTTTATTTAAACAAATTTTGTTCTATAAGGTAGGAAGCACAAACTTTGACACTAAATCCTCTGACTTTGTGAAAAATCAAATACACAATTGTCTCAGTTTAAAAGAAAAGACAAGATACAGGACTTCACACACTGACTTGATAGGTATGGGTAGTTTCTCTGCAAACTCATCAGGATCCACAAAAAGTAAGGAAAGAACTGACTCCAAGGTTGTCCTCTGACATACTTTCTCTTCCTTCTTATGCATGCATACACAGAGACACAATAAAAAGGCAATTAATTGGTTTGTTAATTAATAAAGGATATATATATATATATAAAATATTTATTTAAGCCAAAAGTTGAAAAATAGACCTTACATTCAAAAGACCAAGGACCTTAAACAGTCAAATATTATAGAACCTAAAACTCTCTGAGGCTAACTACAGCCAATTTTCAATGTTACTTATTTGTCTTATATACAATCTGATTGACTTATATGTGTTCAATAGATCATTATGATTATGTTGATAACAGACTATCTGAACAGAATGTCCTCTCATTAGTTTTTCTTTTTTTTCTAGTTTTTTTCTTTTTTTTTTTGGCTAAGAAATACTTAAGCATGTGCCATCAGTGGCTTAGCTCCCTATAAATAAAAAATCCTAAAAAGGGACATTAACCAAGAAAGACTGGACAAGATAAATGGACCTGGATGCATGACAGTGGTTAAACACAGTTTTTCTGCCTAACATACACTCAACTTGTTTTTATGTGGGGCTTTTTACAAATATCTTGTATGATATTGCAAACTGGGCTGTTATTTAACACTGAAAAAAACTACTGTTTGCTACATGATTATTTTTTTAACTTATAAAGTTATGTAGTAACTAGAAATATTCCTGGTTTTGTTTGTAGTACTGAATCAATGCCAAATGCTAGTGTAAATTAACAATATTAACAATGATGATAAGTGTGTATTATACTGATTTTTATGTAGCAGTGTCTAAATTTCTGGGCAATAAGATAGTCACTTAATATTTCTTCCATAATAGACTATTGTTATGTCTTTGAATGGCATTTCAGTTGTAGCTCACACTCCTGCAGAGAGATAGTGAACATTGTGTTTATTTCCTAAGACCACCATGCTTTGTTTAGGGGAGAAACAAAACAAGAAATGACACTAGTTATGCTTAGCAGAGATAATTGCATTAAAAATACTTTGCTAAATAAGAATTGAGACTTTGAAAGAACAAACCAAAAGCATAATGGAATTAGTGACTACAAGAAATATGGCAATTTTTGATAGGGCACTTCCTGATATTAAAATTCATTCTAGAAAATGAGGCTTGCTGAGTGAAAATTACGAGTAGGTGTTTTAGGCAGTGCCCTGAACCTCTGTGGAACTTGGACTCAGATCTCTGAGGAAGCAACACAGGCTACTGATATGGATGTCTTGAAGAAAGTGTGAAGAAGCAAATGATATAAGTCCTTCCATCTAGATTCTGCTGCTGCTATTAGGATAAATTGTGATTGCCAGTATAAAGAAACAAAGCTGGAGGAATCATAATAATGGAGAACCTAATATGTCAATTTTCTATCTTCTATTCTCATTCTAAACTACTGACTCAAAAAAGAAGTCAGGAGTGTGCAGACACGTGGTCTTAGGAATCTCAACTCCATCTGTACATGAAAGAAGGTCTCCAGAAGCAATAGATTCATAAATAACATTCTGGTATTCATATTCCCATCCTATTTCTGTATGTTTGGGGATCTGAATGTAATTCACTGATTCATCCTCATATATTGTTTTGTCTTTTAATTATCTTGAGTACCACATGGTAGAAGCACTGTCCAGTAATCATTTTTTAGTTTTTAGTGGTGTTTTCTTTTAAAGAAGCTGATATAGCTGAGTGCAGGCAATTGTATATTAGGAGAACCAATGATAGACATCAATATGCTTCCAAGTAAAGTAAACGAGATTTGTTTCAAGTATATTTAGTGATCCTAGAGAATTTCCTTTGTCTCCAAGAAATTGGCAGTTTAATTCAACACGTAACATCAATGCCACCAGAAAAAGCACCAAGTACTTTATAAATGCCTGTGAAGAATAAAGTTTAGGTAGGGAATAAGAAATGCTATAGATGTATCACAGTGTAGGATCCATACTGTTACAGTGGTTGAAAATGGGCATTGTTACATTTTGGAACATTCTGACCTTGTAATAATGAAGTAAAGAAAAGTTACTACAGTTTTAGCATGAAAACAGTCATGGCTAAGTTGTTTCAGATCATTAATGATCATGAACAAAATGGTTTAAAACTCTCACCTTACCAAATCAGAAGTTGAATCAAACCATTTTAGTGGTTTTTCTTTTAACCTGAAATGGCCAGTTGAATATATTGTTTAGTTATTTAAAGTTCCATATGAAATTAAGCAGTAAGCAAGTAGTAATGTTGATTACATTAAAGTAAAAAACTCACATAATAATCATTCTAATTTCCAGGTAGTTGCCTCCGAAAGCATGGTCAAGAAATTTTGCATGCAAACAATGGAGGAAACCAAACTGAAAACTTTATAAAAGTTTACTAATTAAAAAAATAAAATCAATAAAATTATCTATATCCTGATGATTTTTTAATAATTTATTCCTTTTTTTCAAATTGTAATTCATTCACACAGGGGTTATAAACAGAAAAAAGGCAGGACATGGGGAAGAGGATAACACTGAAGAGTGAGTGTTCAGGGGGAATACAGATATCTTTCAGAACAGGGTATTGG